TATGAATTTCAGCAAGATAATGCTCCTGTTCATACAAGCAAATTGACAAAGACATCCTTTGATGATTCGAATGAAATGGCCTGGACAAAGTTCTGACCTTAATCCCATTGAACATTTATGGGATGAGCTTGAAAGACAAATTAGAAAACGGAGCTCTCCACCTGTATCTGAGAGAGAATTCGCTGTAATTCTTCAAGAAGAATGGAAGAAAATTTCTGATACTGTATTTCAGAAATTTGTTCTAAGTATGAATAATAGAGTTAAAGCAGTTTAACGGGCTAAAGGCTATGTAACAAAGTATTAGTAAGAGTCTAGCTCATATTTTGCTTTACAGTTTGCTTAAATATTATTCTGATTGCATGGATTATTAAATTTTTGTTATATTTTAACATAATAAACATATAATAAATATAAAATTCTATTTCTACGCAGCCAAGCAAGATAAAAATGTGATGTTTGACATTTAGTTAAGGTATTTAAAGGCTTTTAAATAAATATTAATTTACACTGGGTTGTAGCATAAATTTTATTTGTGTACTTTTTTAAACGTTCAAGTAAAGAAACTTAATTTTTCACATTTTTAGTTGAGTAACGTCGGGTATAAATAAACCTAATCGTTTACATATTAATCTAAGTTGAAATTTTGCAGGAATGTAGCTCAATACAAGCGCAAACTACGGCTAAAGTTTTATAGAGATCTGATGTTTGTTACGGAATTATGCATGATTAACGAAAATTTTAAGGAGTGGTCGGAGACTTTTGGTCACCCACTGTACATAACGGTAGCTTTTTGTACTACCTTATCGGGTATTGCAAGATCTACATCTAAATGCAAGCTATCAGTTTTGAGGAGTATCGGTTTTCCTAATAATGTATGAAGCCCGATAAGGAGACATAAATTGGGGATCTGCGAAATCTTTAGTTACACACTGTCCGCTTTGTCTCGCTTAATTTACACCCATTACGATTTTCGTTATCCACTTTGTTCAAAAAATAAAGACATTCTTACAACGTAATTATTACTGGCTCGTAAAACAGATTTCTCTCACTAATCGAGTTTCAGCAGTTCTTATACATTTTCTCTTACAAGTTATAATATTAATCAAGTTTCTTTTTTTTTTACTTGAATATCAATGCCAACTTTGGTGCCTCTCAGAATATGCAACGCCGTTAATCACACGCCCTATGAAACTTATTATTAACAGCGCCAGAGAAATAAATAATAAAATGTATGTTACGGAAGTAAAAAAAAGATACCGAAACAATTAAATAAAATCTCTTTACACCATTTTGATCCATATTTTCTCCGTTGTCTTACACATAAAATATAATTATTCAAAGATAACGCTAATCAGGAAATTTGGCTGACAGTATAAATTGCTATAAAAACAGAAATATGATAGTAAGCACAAATGCGACTGTTATATGAGTGTTGTACGAACAAATTTTCCAAGGAGTATAAACGAAATGAAAAAGAGATGATTGAGACAATATTGTGATTATAAGCAAAAGCATAAAAAAAGGTTGCAAAACGTGTATTGTTGCTTTTACGTATTGCCAATATAATAACTGTATTAATATTGAAGCTTAATCAACAAGTGCATAAATTTAATGAAAGTTATTGATTTTTAGTCTCCCGGATAATAAATGCCGAGTATTTACAATGTTAATCGTATCGTGTTCATAGTATTTTCCAGTAATAAACTATATTCTGATTATTAATCTCATTGTATCGCTTGGAAAGTAAATTGTTATTTACTGTTCTCTTTAGTGTATTCATCTGTTCTATCAAGTAACACGAGATCTTATCAACAGAATTGTAACCCTTTCTCACGCGTTCTCAATAAACCTTTCTGCAAATGATCAATTCGGACAACACCAGTGCCCCCTGAAGTATAAATATGATCGAACGACTGCGAATTTCTAAAAACCAACCCCTGACGTACAATATGGCAGGTGGAAAAAATAAATTCATTATTTTACTAATTCTCGTTGTTTGTTTGGTCAGCTTACTGTCTGCATCGCCGCGGCCGCAGCAGACGCCGTAAGTTTTTTGTCTTACTAAAATATTCATTATCTTTTTTACTGGTGCAATTAAACTTAACAAACCGACAACAATTTTATAGACCAACTTGCCCCGGTGTTGCGTTTGTAGATACAAACGGCACAGTCTCGTGTTGTTTTCCAGGCGATACGTGCTGTTTCAATCCAAACGATCCGTGCTGTATAGATCCAACCGGTCCATGCTGTGGAAGTTCACCCGATCCGTGTTGCCAAAGTGATGGAACCATTGATTCGTGCTGTCAAAATCCAAACGATCCGTGCTGTATGGATCCTTCCGGTCCATGCTGCGGAAGTTCACCCGATCCGTGTTGCCAAAGTGATGGAACCATTGATTCGTGCTGTCAAAATCCAAACGATCCGTGCTGTATGGATCCTTCCGGTCCATGCTGCGGAAGTTCACCCGATCCGTGTTGCCAAAGTGATGGAACCATTGATTCGTGCTGTCAAAATCCAAACGATCCGTGCTG